AATTTTGCATGTGGTTAGATTTGGAGAAATAATCAAAGTGGAACAACTCACATCCAAGCTGAGGCCACTAATCACTCTGGGGAAGTTGTTGATGAGTGGCCCAGATTTTGCAGTATATCCAAAAGGGTAGATTATTTGTTAAACAGAAGCTTCATCACACATTACCATGATATGGTTTACATATGAAAAGCTATATTCTTTACTTAACATTCACAAGTTGCTTATGGATTAATTAGCCCATCTGCCACAACAAATGTATTCGTACATCTTTTGCATGGATTGCTGAAAAATGACTGCTTTTTCTCTATCCCCTTAAGATTATGCTATCAATATAATGGAAAATAATAACTTTTTAGAAACAAGACACTTATTTTTCATATATCTAAAAATGTGTATATTTTTATTACACAGCATCCCCTGAGTATCTGATTTTGGCGAATATTTGTCTGTGTAGAACTGAATCGATAAGTGCAAGGGTGAGGGGAAGACCTCAGAAAATAGTGTCCTGTGGTTAATTTTTCTTTTATTTTCCTATTGTATGCTCACTTGTTAGTTCATATATTTTATCGCTGTTTCAAGTTTCATAGGATTAAGACCACTCTCTTCACTTTTTCCCAATTCCTACATTAGTTTGTCTGAAGACAACCACATGTCACTATTTATCCTGGAATTTCTATCATCGGCATCTTCCTTTCCTTTTTTCTGAGGTCGCCAATTCTCATAATCTCTTTTTGTATAATGCCTCTGCTTTCTCATTTATCTCAAATCAGATGGCTTAATCATCACCATTTCAGAGTCCAGCCTCCCCACTCTGGGACTGCTAGCCTCTTATCAAATATCAATCACACCAATCCTTTCTGTTGCTGTCTAGTTAATTCAAGGCAATAGGACCAAATCAGGTTGGGCCACAGTTATCAAAATGCCAGATGTAATAGCAATACATGGAATTATCTCATATACTACTTGTATTTATTAGGACACTCTACCCTCTCACTCATTTCATTTAACAACCCCTTTAGAAAAAATGTCTCTTTCCCTATAGCATGTTTCAATCAATCTGCCCTCCTTCATGAAACCCTTCTGCATGTGAACTTCAAACTTGAACCCCCTAACACATGAATATTTTTTTAATCTTCAAAGTACCTCGCATCTTCTCTCCTCAGTTTTGCTCCCAACCCTCTTTATCCATGTTTTTCCTCCTGAAAATCAACTTCTCTGCACTCCTCTAGCAAAAGAGCTTCCCACCTTTTACTGGACACCAAAAAAGACTGGATCTATACCCTTAACTGCCTACTTAAAGTCAGACACCTTTCACAGAGGGCTTCTCCATCTTCAGTTTTATCTCACAAAACAAATAAAACTTGTATGCCATCCATACAAAACCAAATTTAAGACTGAGACAGAGAAGAAGTAGTACGAGGGAGGGAGGGAGGGAAAGAACATAGTGCTAAAGAAATAGGATAATAAGGATATGGCAACATGAAATACCAATGCCTTGTTGTTGGTTTAGGAACTAACCACTTGAAAAAATGAAATTTTGCTATTATTTGTTAACTTAGTACAAAATGTTCCTGTAGGATTAACTTTAGGTATTTTTCCAATGTTACTCTTCTGTCTAGCTGTAACTGATGATAACCGAGCAAAGCAACTGCCAGAAAATCCCAATTAAGCTATTCTTTATTTTTTTTCTTGTGAAAGGCATAATTTATAAAATGGTGACCTTTTGGTAAGCTAACAGTCTGTTGATGAAGTTCAAGCGAAGTGAGGAAAAAACACAGTGTTTAGTATCATCAATGCTTACATTTTCTAAGGGATCATGTGGGACCATAGAGCCTTTAAAGGTCATGGACTTCTTTACTTTGAGAGATATTAAATAGCTTAAGAAAATAGAGGTCAGCAGCATGATAACCAGAAGAAAAGAGCATTCCCCAAAAGGGAAGTAAGATCTCTGAGATTACATTGACTGTCCTTTTTAAAGATTGTATTTGATTGTCCTTAAAGCAAAGAATGAAATTTGCATATAAATGCCATGGTTGTAAATGAATGAATGTACAGGTCATAGAATCAATAGCTATTGATCTTGCTGTATGAATGCTAATATTGTCTGCATGTACTGAGCGATACAATAAGAACTAATGATTTCCCAGCCTAAAACACTTTTCAGTAATTTTTATGTTTCTGCAGAAATTTTTAAACTAGTCTGGATTTTGCAAAAATAATCTTACTTAGCTTATAGGAACACAAAATATATAATCATTATCAGTAGGAAACTCATTTTTTTAAAATTATCTTTGCTCTTAAGATCACCAAAATAAATAAGCATACTGAACACCAAAGGCTAGATTAACACGTAGGCAAAATACCCAGCCACCTTGGGAAAAACATAGATTAATGGCATTTGTCTATCTACTATATATTGACACACTTTATGGATCAGTAGGAGTTAATGTGTAACTGGAAGAAACCTGGCCACACATTTTTCCCTTTACCCTCAGATATGGCTTAAGGTTACTTCAAAAAGGGCACTGTCTTATTTCATTCTGTCACTATTAGGAGTTACTCGTGATGCAAGGCTTATAGGAAAGGTAATATGGTGATATAGTTCCAGTGGATGTTAAATAGTTGATAATCAATTGTGATGAAAGGACAATTCCCAAAGAGCAATCTTACCTCCCACTTGATCATCTTCCATAGTTTGGAATTTACAAATACTGACCACGATATGAAACATATGGGATGATACCATTCAGCATGAGGGGATAGATCTTAGGTGGAGCTTTTCCATTCTGGGATTTCTTTTATCTGATGACTACACATCCTCAGGGGAGACAGTAGTAGCCATGGCCCAAGCACCTGTCACTGGCAGAAGCTCAAGGAATGAATGACTGTGTCCATAGGTGTCCCATGTCCACATACTCCCGTATGCCCTAAGCCAAACATTGCAAGGTGTGTCAATGAAAATTCACTGATAATTTTTCAAGTTTAGTCCATGGAGAGAAGATTTAAAGACTGAACACACAGATTAGTGAATGTGTGCACATTGGTAAGTACCTAGTCAAATCTCCAACTGGGGTTTCTTCCTAGTGATCCAAGAACTGAACTGGGACATATTCTGCTAGTGAAGAAAGTTAATTGCTCATTTTTTGAAGGCACATTAACTCTTTCAGGGTCCATTGAGTAAATTAGCTCCTCCAGGTCATTAAGCCTGTCTGTACATGACATGATGATTTCTACCTGGCGTTGTATCATTTACCCCAAATTGCCCCACACTTGCTCTGAGCACACACATATTCCTTGTCTACTCAGGGAGAGAGAATGTGCTCATTTGAATGTCAGCAATTGTTCTGCAACTGTGACTCAGTGACTTCCTTTTCTTCTCTTTAGGCACCCAGGGATCTCTAAGGCTTTGCTGGTGCATAACAGTTATCAGTGCCTCCCCAACAGGCGAGCGGTTTAAGTTAGCTGTCTGGAAATGGCATAATTTCAGGGATATTGAGCACAGTATTGTACCACCAAATATCTCTTCATATTTGCAAAAGCCAACATTGTTAATTCATTCGGGGTAGGAGTCATGAAGCTCTTTCAGGATTCTAGAGTCCTTTACTAAAATACAAATTCCACTAAGAGACTATGTTATCAGGACTCATTTTAAGAGCAGAAATTGACAACTATTTTAGAACAGTCTGTATTGCCCTCTGAGAGGGTGTTAGGGGAAGTACGCAGGTGTTTTGGGTGCCAGAAAGGTTGGGCAACATTCCTGGCTCTTAGTAGGCAGGCATGGAGAGTCCCATGAATAATTTTTTTCTCCCAAATGCCAGTGGTTCTGCCCTTGCTGAGAAGCAATGACTGAAAACAAAGGCAAACTTCACCTCCCTCTCTGTATGTCCAGGGCTGCCTTGGAGAATCACAAATTGGTATAAATTAAAACAGATGAGGGTGCTCATTCAGAGGTATTTTAGATCAGTGCTTCTTTCATATGCATATAAATCAGCTGGAATCTTCATGAAATGCCAATTCTGATTCAGTAGGTCTAGAGTAGGGCCAGGCATTCTGCATTTCTGATAGGTGATGCTAATGCTGCTGGTCTATGGACCACACCTTAAACAGTGAGGATTTATGATAAAATGTACATAAGAAATAACATGATCTTGAGTAAAAAGATGACAAACATGAAGGAAAATTGACAAAATCCTAAAAGTTAGATTTTAGGCAAATAAGACTGATTAAATATTGAAAATCTCACCAAGAGTGATCATTAAAAAAAAAAGCAGGAGGCTGGGCATCGTGGCTCATGCCTCTAATCCTAGCACTCTGGGAGGCCAAGGTGGGTGGATCATTTGAGCTCAAGAGTTTGAGACTAGCCTGAGCAAGAACGAGACCCCGTCTCTAGTAAAAAAATAGAAAGAAATTAGCTGGACAACTAAAATATATATATAATATATATATATATTATATATATATATAATATATATATATAATATATACAAATTAGCTGGGCATGGTGGCACATGCCTGTAGTCCCAGCTACTCGAGAGGCTGAGGCAGAAGGATTGCTTGAGCCCAGGAGTTTGAAGTTGCTATGAGCTAGCCTGAAGCCACGGCACTCTAGCCCAGGCAACAGAGTGAAACTCTGTCTCAAAAAAAGATTTTAAAAAGCAGGATATACTTAATATTTCTACCTATTTGAAGACTTTGGTGAACATTTTCTGAAGCTAATATGTTATTTACATTTTTAAATCTTTACTAATAATTCTGGTGTTTTACTAGTTAACCGACTCCAGATACTTCATTAAGATGAAAAAGTCATTGTTTTTCCTATCTCCTGCGCGTCCTCATGTTGGTAAAGAGTTGAGTAAATGTCAATGTCTAATTAAATATTCCTTTACAAAATTCATATCAGAGCTGGTTGAAACCTTCCCTCCTCACCTTTTATTAATCTATCATGACAGCCTCTCTGTTCTTTGCTCTGATATGAAAGCAATGTCCTTATATCTTCACAGGTCAATGGGAAGGATCTTTCAAAGGCCACCCATGAAGAGGCAGTGGAAGCTTTTCGAAATGCCAAGGAACCCATTGTGGTGCAGGTGTTAAGGCGAACGCCTCTCAGTAGACCAGCCTATGGAACCGTCCCAGAAGTGCAGCTCATGAATGCCAGCACTCAGACGGACATCACCTTCGAACACATCATGGCCCTGGCCAAGCTTCGGCCACCTACCCCTCCAGTGCCAGACATCTGTCCATTTCTGCTGTCAGACAGGTATTTTTCTGTCATTGTTCCCAAAGCCCTGTTTGTTTCCATTTGTCATTCAAAATAAATCTTGGAAAGAATCATTCACCCTAGCGGGTTGGCAATTACAGAGACAGGCTCCCAGCTCTGTTTGGCAAATGTCTTCACTGTGTCTACATCCAAATAGTTCTCAGCCATTCCTGCTAGCTCCCCTCCCTGGCCTGCATGGTTGCTTCCGCTCTGCAATCATACTTGCTGAGGTGCAATGACAAATCCTGGCCCTGATTAGTTCATCTTGATATTTCCAGCCATCACAAGCCTCATGCTACTCATGAGAACTGGTCAGGGAAATAGCTTTTCTCACCAAGGCTGCCAAAAACCTTATTAAGACTCATGTAGAACTGGCATGTTGGCACTGTATTCTCTGTGGGTCATCTCTCTCTCTCTCTCCTCCTCGTCCTTCCCTCTTCCCCTCCCCTCGTCTTCTCTCTCTTCCTCTCTCCCCCTGCCCCCCGTCATCTCTCCTTCTCCTCTCTCTCCTCTTTCGATCATTCCCCCCCACCTCTCTCTCTCTCTCTCTCTCCCTCTCCCTCTCTCTCTCTCTCTCTCTCTCCCTCTTGCTTTTCTCCTCTTTAAAGCTAGGAAATTAATTTAATTAAAGTGCAATTCTCCAAAGAAAGTAATTACCCAATACATTGAGATGTAAACAAAGAGTCCTGGCTGTCAGAGAGTAAGTATAGTGCTATGAAATAAGGAGCAATTCAAGGAATATTTCCTTCTAATTTTTATCTAATTTAAAGGCAGTTAGATTTTTTTCCAAATAATCCTGCTTGTACAGTTTTAGAAATATTTTTTGCCCTGTTCATTTGTGTTCTGTGAGCTTTTAAGTAAATTTTCAAACATTATTGAGAGTCTGATTTATAAGAGCAATGGTCTCTAAGCTGCATTTTCACTGCCTACTCCAATCCATTCTCTACTTTGTAAAACACATATGTGATCCATGCCATTTCCCTGCCCCCCAGTGGCTCCTGTCAGCCTGTTTCGGTTGTTCACAGGTGTATACCAGAATCACTTGGTTCCTTTGAGGACCAATATTGATGCCTAAATCCCACATCAAGCCAATTAAATAAGAATTTTTAGAGTAGGGCCCAGGCATTAGAATTTTTCAAAAATCTCCCTAGGAAATTGTGCAGCCAGGTTTTGGAAACCATTCCTTAAGACTTCAAGTTCCAGAAGGACAGGGGCTCTGTTTGCCTTGTGGATTACTCTATTAATTCATCCATGCCCTATTAAATAGACCACTGCGTCAGGAACAAACTAGATGTGTCAGGCACTGGAATTAGATGCTGGGCATAAAACTATGAACAAAAATAAAGTCACTACCTCCTGGAGTTTATATGATAGAGGAGGACTTGAACAATGAGCACGCAAACAAATATATAATATTCACTGGTACAGCCTGACACAGAGTATCCATCTAATACATACTTTCTTGAATGAATAACAATAGCTTTTATTAACTAACTTGACACATTTTTGGTACTATTGCAAGTGCTTTGCATGTATTGATTCATTTAGGCCCCACAACAACCTTATGAGATAGTGTATTCTATTATCACTATCCCTGTGTCACAGATGAGGGAATGGATATAAAGTCACTTGGCCACAGTCACATAGCAAGAAAGGGACAAGGACAGGCTTCTAGAGGTAAGAGGTTTGACTCTGATACCCAATCCCTTAAGCAGTCTGCTCTTCCTAAGGCCTGCAGACCTTAGCTTAGAGACAACCTTTTCTAGCAAACTTCCTAAGGTTGCAGTAACCTACCATGTACTGCCACAGCTTCCATATTTTCCCCTTAATTATTGCATTAAAATTTCCACTTTTCTGCTTCCCTCAATTAATAGGGCAAGAATTGGATTTTGTGGACCAACATATTTCTAGTTCTTGGCATAGGGCCTAGCATCTGGTAGGCATTCAATAAATGTTTGTTGAATGAATAATATGTTCCTCGCAGCAGGGCTCCCTTCCAACAACTGACAGACAAGGGAAATGCATCAGATGCCCAGTTTAAATAGCAAACTTCAACATTTCACCAGCCCTTACAGGCTGTGCAGGGCCAGGCCAGATATAAGCAAGATGTTGCCTGTAATGATTCTGCTATCTCAGCCCATGCTAGTTAACCAACCATCCCTATGTGGAGCTGTCATAGATAGTAGTGGGAAAAGGCTGGTAGAGTGTTCATGCTGACCATAGTATGAGGGTATCAGGATGAGAAAGGAACTAATTTATACACTAACTCCAGTTTTTCAATAAGGTCCACACTGGCAGGGCTTAGAGATTTCACCTGCAACCAACTCGTTTAATTGCACGGAGGCTTTTACACTGACTTTTAGAAATAGAAAAGGCCTTATGCCTTTTGCTTTTATATTATGCTTAGCCTTCATATGGTATAATGTAGAGTCTCTATCAAAACATACAGTAATTTGAAGAACTCTTTTATAAGTTATTTAAAATATTTCCTGAAAGTTAAAAGATATATAAAAACCATGTGCACTGCCCAGGGTCCCCTCCTTATCTTTACCTCATCTGTTCTCTCTGTCGTCGGGAATTTTCTAAATGTATTGTGACACTCTTGCAGAAGTCCCAAGGGAGTTATCACCATGAATGCTCTTTGTCCTGTGTGCATGTGCCCTTCATCAAAGTGGGAAAGTGTGGGTTGTGAGGTAGAATGGGGAAGAAGGGTCTTCAGGAATAGGGGGCAATTTGAGTACATTTTAGAGTCTGAAGAATATGTGCTTCTGAAAATGGCTTTTAAAACCAGTTTGGGGCTGTGGATTATGAAATTGGTAGTGCTTTGTTACAAAATACCCCACTTTGGGCAGACTGCAATCTCAAATGCCACACGCCCACTCATGGAGCTAGTCACATTCGGGAGACTGGAAGCAGACCAGAAAGTATCAATAAAGCACCGAGGACTGTCGAAGATTTCACATGAGTCTCTCTACAGGATACGACTCTTGACCACGGGACCCTGTGCTCAGTGGTCTCTCAGAAATAGCAAACTGATGGACTCCATGTAGGGAGAGAAAGAACAACAATTGCTCTGTCTGAGCTGTAATTCGTTTAAAGGCTAGATCCCTACACATCTTATTTCAAAGCAGAGAAAACTAAAGCAAAATTCTAGAATCAGTTTTAATCTTGATAACAACCCTTTTGATCCACTCCTATCATATTGCCACATTCCCTGTAGCTGCCATTCTCTTCATCCGATGGAGCATGAATTTTATGAGGACAATGAGTATATTTCCAGCTTGCCTGCTGACGCAGACAGAACAGAGGACTTTGAATATGAGGTAAGATCATTTTCACACCACTTCACATTTCTTCATGAAGTTATGGTTGAGGGGTTTTGCATAACAAAGAAATTAATTTATTGCTGTGAGAGATTTCTTCTCTATTATATATCTGGGGTGAGATCTTTTAAATCTTATTTGTTTTAGCTATGTGGCTCTAGTATTTTCAGCCTATTAGAAAATATTTTTATAGTATAATCTCGAAAATCATTTGCTCACATTTTTGTTGCTTTTTATAAATAAAATTACAGCTGCTACATTTCTTTTCTTTTTCTATTTTTCTATAAAAGTGGATTTCTAACAGAATATGGAAAGGAATTTATGTTTAAAACCAAGACTGTGCTTGCTAGTTTCATGCATTGTATAGTGTTCCAATTTTAATTGATAAACTAAATTTTATTATATTAGTTGTATTCTTTTTCACAAATTCAATATTCTCTTTGGGACTCAGGTACATACTCTAAAGAGCAGTTTCACAGGCTTTCTAGAAATAACGATGGCCTCATGCCTCGTGTTGTTAAATTCTGTTTAGCTACCATGTGGTATAAAGTTAGAGTATCTGTCCTGTGATATATAACAATTCAAAAAGTCCATCTATTAATTATTTAAAAGCTTTCACAAAAGTTAAAGAATTTATCCTAATATTTCCTCTGCTTCTGCAGTCTATAAATCTTTGAAAGGTTTCAGACTCCTGTGACATTTGGAAATGAAATAGATTGAGGAAGTAAAGAAGCTTTGGTAAACAGGCAGAGAACCCATGATTATCTGCCCTTTTAATGCTTCAGATGATGTCATACAAGTTCAGCAAAGTGTTCTTTTCTACTTACAACCAGGAAATCCTGAAATCTCTTCCCTTAGGAGCATCTGAAATCAAATAAGGCTGACTCAGTGAAGCTCACCTAAAGCAAATAGACGTTTATTTGAAATCTTCCCCCCACAAAAGTCATTGCTGGGGATTACAGAAATCATTATTTCTTTGCAGCCAGAATGCCAGAATGGCAAAGGATGTGAAATAACATCTAGTAACTGAGTAGATGGTTTTGTCATTGTTGTTGTTCATGTTAATTTTTTATCTCCTCCTCTCCATTAAGTTGATTGAAAAGTTGTATTCTATAAATCCACGCAAGGACTGGCATGCACTGCACTATCCATTAAGTTCCGTCTATTCATGCAAAATAAATTACAAAATTGAGTCACTTATCCAAGTAATTCAAGATTAAACTGTCTTTCTTTCAGTTAATGAATACTTTGGGTTTGGGGACTGGAATTATCTAGATCACTTCAACTTTTTATTTAGTGCCTTAAAGCTTTATTAAAATAAGTAGGTGTGCTGAGGAAGGGTATTAGAGGAACATTTGTTTAAGCTAAGCAGGTTAACAGTAAAAATCCTTTTAATTAATCAGCATGTCATTGCAATATTACAGTATAGACAAATTTCTTTGCTTTTCTATGGGGCTTACTGTAGCTGAACCATGTCTTCTTTTTTTACTGCTATCGGTCTCCAGTAGAAGCTGCATCAGGATGATGACAGTGGGGAATGCTCAGACAAGCTCTCCTTTGCCTGTAATCTCAACTAATCACAGCATCATAGTCATTAATTTGCTGTCAGCTGTAATTCTGTTGCCAAAGGCCCCTTTCTGAGTGATTGAAATAAAGAGTGTTCCTGTGAAATTTAAATAAGGAAGGAGTTGCCATGACAGTCTTCAATCATGAGAAAGGATGCATTTGAGAGCAACGTGCATGATGAAGGGGGAGGTGGGAGGCATGGGGAAGTACTTCAAGGAAAAGTTACCAAATTTAAGAGAGAATAATGCTTATGCCCAGGACGTCTCAGTCCAATGCAGTCACGTGATGCACATGTAGAGTGGCACACACCATCCCTCATGGCTGCATCAGATGAGATTGTAAAATCTAGCCAGTGCGCTGCTGTCACCAGAGTTTATGGTGGACACCGCATTCAGTGGGGAGATTTAGATATGCTAATCCTGTCTTTATGTTCTGCATCTTTACTGTTGTACCTAGAAACAGACTGATCTAGGGCTTCTAGACCAGCTGAGATGACCCCACATCCTCTAGGAGCTTCACGATAATGACCCTGTAGCTCTGGGGATGGGATGTGCAAGCATCTTGAAGAAGGACCAGTTTGGTGCCACTTAGAGAATATTACAGGAAACTAAGGACTAATGGCCAAAGAGAGGGCTTCAGCTTAGAAAGAGATACTCATTCGTCCCCAACCTAAATATGGACACACATCAACCAGACTATCAAGCAAATAGAAGACTCCTTTTTCATCTGCTTTTGTTCCTTTGCACCATAAGTATTTAATAAGTACTTTAAAATGTACCTGGTACTTATCTAAGTACAGGGTTATGAAGAGCCTGCCCTAGTGGAGCTTAACTTCCAGGGGAGAGAGGTGGAAAATAAACAAACAAGTAAAGGCTTACTCTATTACATTGTGGTACGTGCTAATGGAGAACAGGAGGAGTGGCATTGGGGCAGGATGTTTCTGTCTTACACAGGGTGGGCAGGGAAGTCTTCTCTCCTAAGGAGCTAAGCATAGGAAAGGAGCTTTTCAGAGAGAAGGAAGGCACAGACAAAGGGCCTGAGGCAGGAGCCTGTTGGTGTGCTCCAGGGACAGCAAAGAACCATGTGTTCCAGTAGCACGGGCCAGGGGAGAGTGGGAGGAGTGATGTCGGAGTGAGGAGGGCATGTCTTGAGGAGCCTTTGGCTTTGATTATGTGATGAGAAGTTTCTGGAACAGAGGAGAATTATACGCTGACTCTATAACAGAATCACTTGGGCTTCTGGGCAGAGATTGACAGAGGGAAGCCAAGTTACAGCAGAGCAGGCAGCCGAGAGGGACAAGGGGATCGGACCTGGACAGTGATGGCAGACAGGGTGAGACATAGTCTGGAGGGACGGCATCTACCCTAGCCCAGAGGGCCGCTCCTAAATATCCATAGCTTTAATACAGTGTGTGCTATGGCAATTTTCTCCTTACTTCTTCAAAGCCAAATCTCATGGATCAGAGTGAAGCACAGCTTCTGGTATCCACTGGAACAAGAATAATAAATCCACACTTTAAAAAACAGAACTTATAGTGTACAGACAGCATTTCTGAACTTGCTAAAAGGTAAACTATGCAACTATTTAGGGGCCTTTTTTAAAGACTGACTTACTATTGATTCAGTGAACCAAAGCTGATCTGTCTATCTGGTAAATACATATTTAGGGACTTTTAGCACATGGATTATTAACCCAGTAGACCAAAGCAAATCTGACTATCTTGTCAATACATATTTAGGGACTTTTTAACATGCAGATTAGTGCATTGATAGACCATTACAGCTCCCTTCAGAGCCGTGATGGACAACATATGCTTCTTAGGAGATATTATAGTCAATGTGTCAATGTTATGGTGACTCGGGTGTGTTAGGGACCTCTATGAAATTTTAATGACACCCATATCTCACCATGACCTATCATCACTTTTCCTAAGAAAAATATTTGACCGGGTTTAAAATTTCCCCACAGTGCTTCAAAAAAAGTCTCAGAGGACCAGTCTACATTAAAAGACTCACAGCTTGAAATTTGTTCTCTTTAAAAAATGATGGCATTTGTTCTCTAATTAAAAATGATAAATGAGTTTAATTTTGATTTTGAGGAAAAAAATAAAAGTGTAAAAATTTAAACAATGCACCCATCATAAGAGTCGGGGTGCTCCATGTTGGAATTTCACTAAGGATTAAGCTTCTCTTCTTTATTTTCAACTTTGTTCATTTTTTTTCCCTAGAGCCAGCTAAAGGTTGAAATAAATCATAAATAGCCCTTAGCAAGTCAGAGGCAGATCTCAAACCCAGCCTCTACCAGAAATAATTTAAAGGGAAAGGCTTCGAGAAATATAGAGCTCTTTTGCCCAACTGCTAATAAAGACATGTTTGCTACTGCCTGAATGCAAGGAAGATGTTGAATTTTCTGCAGCCTTTGCCATTAGCTCTCCAAAGTCACTGCTGATAGAAGAGACAAAAACAAATAAGTACAAAATTTTGATCGTATAAAACATCGGGTTAGCCAAGACAAACAAATAACTTAAGCAACATTTCTGTGCCTGTAGATTTTCATCACTTAGAAATGCTACTTGAAATCATTTTTACTTCTCCCCCAAGATCAGACTGAAGAAACCTATACAAAAGCCTGCATTAAGTACTCTTTATGTATTCAATGTTATAAAAGGTAAGCAAAAAAAAAAAAAAATTAGAAGTATGTGAAGAGGTATTAAAGGTAAAAAGAAGAGAACAAATATGTGTCAGAGTTCTATGTACATGTTAACTGAAAACCAAACTTGGGCCAGTGTCTATAAATGGAAGCAAGCATTTAGCATATTAATTAGCTTCCTCTTGGCAATCCTTATGCAAAGCATCAGTAAACCCTTGTGCTATGCCTGCCGAGAAGTGCCATTTTGCAAAATGTATTTCCTGGAGCTGGCTCCCTCCCAATATATGTAAAATATTTGTGAAAATTTAAGTATATGTAATTTCCCTTTTACATAAAGAAGAGAGAGTCATGAATCAAGGAGATTTTCATTTGAAAAATAACAAGAAGAGGATAATTATTAACTAGATTCCAGTTTTATTTTTTTTAGGAACTTCATGATTTGTGAACAACATTGAGAAAAATCTTTCTAGTATGCATATGGAGAGCTACATCGCTCTTTCTACTAGACCCTCAGGGCAGAGGCTCTATCTGCCTTGCTTATGGTTGCTTCGCATTGCCTGCTTCATTGTGGGTGCTCAGTCAGTATTTGATGAAAGAATAAATGCGGGTTCCCACTGCTGTCTGCACGGACCAACTTCCTTTAGTTTAGTCCCTTTCCTCCTTTCTGTGCCCGGGGATTGGAGAAGAATCTGAGATCACTATGTGGTTACAATAAATGCCTTCTCTCTTTCCCGTGGGGATTTGTTCATTGAGTCATGGGTTTTAATCTTAATGCCATTTTCGTT